AGAAACCACCAACCTAGATGGCCATAACGATTTCATCTCCTCTAACCTACTCTCAGGCATTTGGACACGGACGCACCTGTGGTAAGCCATACTATCAAGTCACGAGGTCTAGAACTCAAACTAGAGTCAGCCCTCTGGCATCCAGAGCCTTGCCTTAAGTTTCAAGATACTCTCTAGACCCAGAATACAGATATCTGCCGACCGCAGTTCGAGTCCCAGACCCGGTGGCTTAAACTCACGACAGGTGCATGTCCGTGCGTGCCCAGGATTGCAATAGGAGAATGGAGGAGAAGGGAATGCGGCGTGGCCATCCCCCCTGGGGGGATGATTTCTCACTTTGTCTCTCTCTGTCTTTCTGGCAAGCGCACGCACCCTACAGCAAAAACTCTCCCAAAAAAAATGAAAAAAAAAAAAAAAAAAAAGAAACCTGAAATTGCAACGCAAAACAGGGTTGATATGTGAAATATATTTGTAGTAAAGTCATTCATATGACAACTAATGGTGTGTGATTAATAAGTCATGCCAAACTGCTACTTCTCATTGCTGTCAAGAGAAAAGTGAAATATCAGTTGATACACAATTTAAAGAACACATATTTTCCAAACTTAAAATAGTGCCCACAACATTTTTCAAATCTTTATGTAAGTACAAAGAGAATCTACCTAATTCAAAAGCATTTGCTATGCAACTGCACTGATTTAACTAGCCTAAATTAAATGACATAATAAAGTCAAGTACTGAAAAAGAATTTAAGATATCAGTATTAATGAATGAATATTTTAAAATGTTCTTATAATTAGTAACTCCAAATTTTTTTTTTTTGGAGAAATTTTCGCTATAGGGCGCATGCACTCGCCAAACAGAGACATAGACAGAAAGCAAGAAATCACCCTCCAGGGGGGATGGTCAGGCTGCATTCCCTTCTCGATTCTCCTCTCGGGATCTTGGGCACACACGCACATGGGCCTGGCGTGAGTTTCAAGCCACCAGGTCCGGGAAACAAAGCACAGTCGACTACATGGGAGTCCAGCGACATAGCCATTACACTAACAATCCTGCCTATAAAAATATTATTCCCCACCCAAAAAATTCCATATTTTGATGAGTAGATCAGTATTACAAATAAACTGTACTTAACTATTCTATTGCTTTAATTGCACTAGAAAAACACTGATATTTGTGAGCATTTGTTTTTCTCTGAAATGTGTGTCTACATAATGCCCAAATCTTGCCTCTTGAGCAAGGTTAAAATAATAAAACAATACAAAGCTTAAAATAGTAATTGGCCCCTTTCCAGAAGAACTGTTCCAAAACTTACTCTCTGAAGAGCATTATCCGAATAAATGGAAATACTTTAATAAGGTCAGTAGATCTGACAAGTAAAAATATTCAATATCACTTTTTTAGTTTAGATGTTCATAATTGTTTTCATATTTTAAAAAAGTCCTTATTTGAAGGAAAACATATATCATAACATTTGATGATGCAAGGTGGTGGTGGTGTATAAAGGGACATCAATCTAAAAGTAATCGTATATACTTAAGGGAAAAAAAGTACTTTGAATTGTATTTCTTTCTTTTCTGCAACTTTGTAATTATTTCAATAAACACTATACATGCATAATTTCATGATGATTACATTTGGGAGACTATAAATTTCCTGTATCAGAAACACTTTGTATGTTTATTTAAAAACCAAAAAGAAAAAAGCACTAAGAAGTTGGAACAAAGAAAAAACTTGTGAAAATGTTTTTAGAAAGCTACAAAAAAAAAAAAGAAAGAAAAACCTTAGAAATTAGATAAACAAAATCTTGAAAAAGCTGTAATTAAATGAGCAAGAGAATTAAATCAATAAGAAAATTTAAACAATAAAATCTAGCATCACGTTTAAATATATTTAAAATTTTGAAAAGCACATACAAATCAGTAAATACATAAACAAAGCAGAAACACAAGTTCCTTACAACTTAAAACTTACCACATAGTAAACACATACAGTAAGTAAAAAATAAAACCCCCTGCAAAACCTTATTACATGATTTCAGAATTCAAAAGTAAAGAAAAAAGCTTCTAGCCAACAATGCCATGAACTACCAAGGTACAAACTTTTAACCTTCATCTCCACATTTAAACTACTGCAAATGAAAAAAGAACAAACAAACAAAAAAATCTCCTTCAAATGAGCAAGTTTAATTTAACTGAAAACCTTTCAACTTGCTATTGAAAGTAGTTAGACTACTTAAGACATTATATGTTCAGGGGACGAGCAAGTGGCAAGGTGCTTAAGGTGCTGGACACTCCCACATAGCTGACCATGGTTCAAGTCCTGCACCTGGCACCTTGTTCTCTCACTTTAACTCTCTAGGGCAAGCTTCAGAAAAATGGTGACAAAAAAGTCTAAAGACCAAAGAAAACCAATAAACCCACATAAGAAGTTATGTCATAGACAATAACCTGACGGAGGTAAGACGAACTATTATAAGACTGCATACTCAAATGTATTTGACTACCAGAACACTTTCGAAAAGTTACAAGGGTTGAACCAGATGACATTATAGTGCTTAAAGATTTAAAGTGTATTACAGCATCCACTCTGAGACAATGGAACCACATGGGAAGATTCCCAAGTTTCTATTCTAGATATACTGAGCACAGGCTTCCTTGTGAAATTTACTGATTGAGACTGAGTGTGAGTTACAGTGTGAGGAAGGGCCTTGTTAGAACCAGGCCCTTCTTTCTCTCATGGGAGAAATAAGTAAAAACTTTTAAAAAGTTACAGAAAGAAATGTGACAAGTTTTAGCAATGAGTATCAAGAAAAACTAAAAGGAAAAATATAAAATCATAATATAGGTATAAAAAATCTAAGATAATTATTATCTTCACATATATTGTTAAAAATGAAAACAATTAATAGATTTAATTAACACTTGTAAGATGACCAGAAAATTGTAAGAAATGTATTTTTATCTACAAAAAAACTAGTATATAAATATCCAAATGTAACACAAAAATAACATGAAACACTAACTTAAACAGAAAATGTAATATACAGTAATAAAAACTAAAAGCTGAGGGGCCAGCTGATGGTGAGGTGGTTAAGGAGGGTCTGGATGGGAAATCACATTTTACATGCTGTATTTATGCTTGGGGAAAAAATATAAATTAAGTTAAAAGTATTTCAGGAAGAAAAAATGAAAGTTATTCTTCTTCAAATTAAAAAAAAAGGCATTAAAAATATCTATTTGATGATTGCAGTATGCTATATAAAAACTAAAAGGAAAAATATAAAATCATAATATAGGTATAAAAAATCTAAGATAATTATTATCTTCACATATATTGTTAAAAATGAAAACAATGAATAGATTTAATTAACACTTGTAAGATGACCAGAAAATTGTAAGAAATGTATTTTTATCTACAAAAAAACTAGTATATAAATATCCAAATGTAACACAAAAATAACATGAAACACTAACTTAAACAGAAAATGTAATATACAGTAATAAAAACTAAAAGCTGAGGGGCCAGCTGATGGTGAGGTGGTTAAGGAGGGTGGATTCCCACATGGTTGACCATAGTTTGAGTCCCAAAACTGGAGACATACTTTGTTCTCTCTCATAACTTTTTTCTTGGCTATCTCCCTTTAAAATTGACCACAAAGGTAAGAAAAAGTTCTCTGAATTGTATTTCTTTCTTTTCTGCAACTTTCTTATTTTTTCAGTAGCAATACATAGATACATTTAGAAGATAAATTTCCTGTATGATAAACACTATGCACTCTCTCCCTCACCACTCCCCCACCACCCATACACTCTGTACCTCTCTGATCGAACTATAATAAAAAAAATAAATAAATTCTTAAAAAAAAAAAAACAAAAAACACCTGAGTAGCTCTTCTATGAAATTAAAATGGAAGAGAAATAGAATTAATGAGATAGGAGACTGTACTTCACTATAAAATTCTTATTAAGTTTTTAAATTATGTAAACTAATGTTTTAAAATATTTTATTAGGTTGTCTAAAAAGTCATGATGTATTTTTAATATTTTTCTAAGCAAAAATGTCATGACTTCCGATCATGACTTCCGATGACCCAGTACATCTGTAATTATTTTATAAAAATTGTAAGAATATTCAATAATGTATTTCCTATACAAGAAAAATTTTTCATTATCTCTGATGTGAAAAACACATGATCAACAACATGAACTACTGCACAGAGGTTATCTCCTTTGAAAACAGATTTGCTAGTTTTCCTTTTGTGGTCCATCACATACCTGCCAGCATTCTTTAAGTCAGCTATGGGAATGAAGGGACAAGTAGTCTTACCTGGTGGCATAAGCTTCATAAGTACTCTTGCTCCATCTCTAAGAGGTGGCGAATTTAGACTACTACCTAAATCTGCAATTTGCCAAAGAAAAGAGATGTATCTGGGATGCAGCGACATTATCTAGAACATAGAATGCATAAAACATTTCCTATCAATTATACCAAAAAAAGAACAAAGTTTATTGTTAATTATGTTTACTGTCCCTAAAACATTTTCTACTGATCAACTATGACTATTTGAACAACTTTTACATATACTATTTATACTCTGCAAAATAACCTGCCCTCTCTATCTTTTCATTCAAAAAATCCATAAACTCTTATTACACTAAACTTAACACAACACTCATTGATTAAGCTGTCTGGAGTCATTTCTTTAAAAAGTCTCTATTATTTGTAAGTATCAGTTTTGCATAGTATAAAAATGTTGTTTATACATTTATGGCACCTCACTCACACAGAAGTTAAATTCTTTCAGAGAGATTATTTTCTGAAATAGGGTACGTGCACTAGCTGGAGAAAAAGAGAGCGCGCGACAGAGAGTGAGAAATCACCCCCAGGGGTAAGGGGTGGCCACATCCCTTCTCAACTCTCCTCTTGGGTTTCTGGGCACGCAAGCACATGCACCTAATGCGAGTTTCAAGCTGCTGGGCCCAGGACTTGAACATAGCCATATGGGAGAGTCCAGAAAGTTAAATTCTTTTTTTTTGTTTAAAGTTTTTTTTGCTATAGGGCGTGTGCACTCGACACAAAGAGAGAAAGATAGAGAGACTTGCACTCGACACAAAGAGAGAAAGATAGAGAAACGAGAGACAAAAAATGAGAAATCACTCCCCAGGGGAATGGTCACACCACAATCCCCTCTCCTTTGTCCTCTCAGGATCTTGGGCACACACACACAGGCACCTGGTATGAGTTGAAACCACCAAGTTCAGGACTTGAACCACAGTTGACTACATGGGAGTCCAGTCACATAGCCATTACACTAACTGTTGGTTCCCAGTTAATTTTTTTTTTTTTTTTAAGAGATTTTGACTATAGAGCCCGTGTGCTTGCCAGAAAGAGACAGAAAGCAAGATATCACTCCCAGGGGGGATGGCCACGAAGCAATCCCTTCTCCTCCATTCTCCTCTCAGTATCTTGGGCAAGCATGCACACATGCCTGGAGTAAGTTTTAAGACACTGGGTCTAGGACGTCAACTGCGATCAACTACATGGGAGTCCAGCAACACAGCCATTATGCTAACTGCTGGTCCCCCCAGTTAAATTCGTTAATCCAAGTGTCGTAAGGGACTGAATTCTCTCTGAAACTGAAGTGGCAGTATAATTATTGGTATAACAACAATTTTTAAAGTCTAGGAGAAAAAAGCTAAGAAAATTAAGCATTACTGTTTCTTGATCTGAGCTTTAAGAAAAACCCTGACAAAGTAAATTGCTGTATTTCTTTCAAACAGTTCTAAAAGACTGATAATGGAATAGTATTTCTTGATTATCACATGTACCAATACAATCATAATAGACTATCTATGACCTAATCTTGCTACAATTAGAGAATTTACTTAGATTTTAGTATTTAACTATAATTATTTGACATTTTGTCCCATCTTAAAAGTATGAACTCCTCAAGAAAAACAAGAAAAACATTCCATACATTTCTTCATATTCATAGAGAAAAACATAATACATTGTACATAGTTTACTTACCACCCCAGGCAAACAACTTTCCACTTCGGGATTGGGACCATCACTGTAATGACTACAGTGGTTGCCAGGAGAGCCAGTTGAAGAGTCAGAAGAGCTATCAGGACTTGAAGGCATGTTGGAATTTATTTGTGTAAGTTTAGCTGTAATTAGCTGAAGATGATAACATGTTAAGCAGTGAAGATAAGGGAAAACACTGAATTGTCAGAAAAGTTATGGCTATTTTTTCTGTTTTCCTATGCAAAAATGTATCATGACTTTTCTAACAACCCAAAACTTTTAAATAATACATATAAACTTCATATAGCAAAAGACTACAATGAATAACAAACTTTTATACTGGAAAAGTGACTAGAAAGTAATATTTAACACAATCTTTTAGTTTATTTCCTTTCTTATACTGGAAGTCCTATGACACCTGTTTTATTCAGGGAATGAATCCAAAGAACAACAGAAGCCTGCTTCTATTAATATCAATCGAACTTTGAGTAGCATTAAATAATGACAGTTTCAACATTTAATTTTAAGGAACACATATGATATGAAAATTATATTACTGGCCTTGCCACTGGCATGGCGGTTAAAGTGGCTGAATTCCACAAGGCTGACAGAGCTGTTCAAAATCTCAGGCCTGGTGACTAGAAAAATAGATTAGCCATGTATGAGGACTTGCCAAAATCCTAAAACGAGAATGGAGAACAGACTGTGGAATGATCATTTCCCTAAGAGGTGATTTCGTTTTTCCTCTTCTCTCTTCAAAAGGCACATGCACCACAGAGTGAGCCTTCCTTCCTTCTTTCTTTCCTCCCTCCCTCCCTCCCTTAGTCCCTGAGATTTTCACTATAGGGTGCCTGGACACACCAGAAAGACAGACAGAAAGGGAGAAATCATCCCCCAGGAGCATGGCCACAGCACAATCTCACTCTCCTCTGAGGATTTTGGGCTGCATGCCACATGTTTGGTGTCAGTTTGAAGTGACTGGGTTCAGAACTCAAAACAGTAGGCAGTCATGTGGGATCTTCAACATAACCATTTCACCAGCAAAATTTTTTAAATAAGAGAAAAAAAAAAATAGTACTTACTGATTTATCTTTTAAGTTTAATTGTCCAATTAGCTTTCTGTCATCCTCAGAATCTATCACCTCACCACCCACAAAGAGTTCTAGTTTTGTATGGGCTACATTTGCTTTAATATGATTGAGAATACATCGTCGTACTGAGCCAATTGTATCGTTTGTATGAGACCATATGTCCAAGTCATCAACTTGTCTGCCCTGATTTGGAAAGCGAATTGTAAGAGAGAGCTGCTTTCCACGAAATGCTCTGGAGGAAACAAAAAATTACAAGTTATTATTATTTTTTTTAAGTCAGTGAATTAAGATTCCAAGGAAATTTTGTATTTCCTTACTAAGGATTATAGTTAACCTAACTTTTTTCTGAAAGCATGTTTTGCTTCTTTTAAACTACAAACATCCTAACTGACCTGATACATGCAATCGTATACCATTGTTATTAACAGTCCATATAAATTCAGAACAGAAAGTTTCTACGTATGATACCTTTTTTTTTTAAAGGGTTTTGCCATAGGAAGCATGGGTTGCTAGAGAGAGACAAAGAGGAAAGAAACAGTGAGAATTCACTCCGTAAGGAGGAAAGGTTGTTCTCATCCACTTTACTCTCAAGATTTTGGCCTGATCCTCAAGCTGCCAAGTCCGGGATTTGAACTACTATTAGGCGCATGGAAAGCTAGCACCTTAACCATCACACCAACCCTTATGATGAATTTTAATAATGGTAATATTCAGTTAGTTATAAACTAAAAGATACAATTCACTAAGACTATTTTAAATAGGGAAGACAAGATTCAGTTTGGAAGTGTCAGCCAAACTGATAAAATATGTGTTCCCATGAAAATTCTTAAAATATTGAAACCCAGTAAAAGTATTTGTCTTAGAAGTAAATCCATGTATAAGAGAAAAATAAAATATACTAAGAGACATTTAAAGAGACTGAATTAAATGTGGCTGACTATGCAGCTTGAATCTTAGATGAAGCAATATTAAACGAAAATAAAAATAGGGCACCTCTGTGTGCATGACCAAAATCTTGACAAGATACAGAAATGGAGCAGAAGAGAGTACAGGAATCATGCCTCACTGAAGGGTCCTCTCACCCTCTCTCTGGCCAATATAAGCACCCTCTATCGATTAATAAAAAAAATTTTTAAAAATTTTAACTGGGGAACCAGCAGTTAGCCTAATGGCTATGTCGCTGGACTCCCAAGTAGTCGACCGCCGTTCGCGTCCCGAACTTGGTGGCTTAAAACTCACACTGGGCGCGTGTGTGTGTGTGCCCAAGATCCTGAGAGGAGAATGGAGGAGAAGGGATTGCAGCATGACCATCCCCCCTGGGGGGGTGATTTCTCGCTTTCTGTCTCTATGTCTGTCAGGCGAGTGCACGCACACTAGAGCGAAAACCTCTCCAAAAAAAAATAAATAAATAACTGAAACAACACAAAGAAATATTCTAAAGCAATCCATATTTTTCAGTTATGAATAAAAAAGGCATCAGATTAAAAACAAAAACCTGATGTTTTTCCTATAAACATGTCCCAAAATTAAATACCATTTAGATTACTGCTAAATAATTATTTACTTAATTTATAATCACATTGGTAAAATCATATCACAAACTATTAAACTTATAGTATTCCTGATTGACATGAACATTTCACCACTGAATACTAAACTATTTTATAGAAATTATTTTTATATTAAAAAAATTTTAACAAAGAATACTTGTGATATCAAAATAAAAAAACAGCAATCCTAAAATACTAGTGCCATAATTAACATCTGGAAAAAATAAAAATGGAAAACACTTTTGCTAAATTATTATAATGCCAAAGCAAAATATAAAAATTATTTTATTACGAAGTGTCTACTGTTAGCTGAAAGTCTTTTGAAAAGAGAGAACTGAAAATCTTTTTCACTTTCCTCTTAACCTAAATCAGTATTTCCTAAATAACTGTCTGCAAAATATTAATTAATTGGCAATTAACGCTAGATCTTTCACAAACCTTGACATGGGGAGAATCAATCTTTCTTCGTGGTAATCACTGTCACATTCATTTATGTATTCTCTTAAAACAGTTAATACTCGAACCATTCGAATGGCTTCCTGTTTTGCACAATTAATACTGTCTTTGTCACAATCCAAAACACATAATGTATCATATGAGGTTTTCAAACGATCAAAACAAGAATGAATGAAATCTTCATGAATAACCACCTACAATAATGGGTCAAAGAGATTTCAAGATATATAGAAATTTAATTATCAAATATGATATTTATCCAAAGTCAGTAAAATTTCATTTTAAAAGTATATCTGAATCACTATCATATTTAACCAGTAATAAAACTAAAGTTTTCTACAGAGAACACTAGTAATATAAAATAAACAAGTATAAAATGTCTATTAGAAAAAACTTACTCTCTGGCTTTTCTGTGAAACAAAGACAAATTTTTGCCATCCTAACATACCACACTAATTAAGTTCAAAAAAATCCTAATTGGGAACAACAGTTGGCATAATGACCAGCAGTTGGCATAATGGCTATGCTGCTAAACTCCTAAGTAGTCAATGGCGGTTTGAGCTCCAGACCCAAAGCTTAACGTCATGCCAGAAACGTGTGCATGTGTGCCCAAGATCCCCAGACGACAGTAGAGAAGAAGGAATTATAGCGTGGCAATTCCCTTAGGGAGTAATTTCTTTTTTTCTTTTTTTCTTTTTTTTATTTTTTGAGAGGTTTTTGTATAGGGCGCATGCGCTCACCAGACATAAAGACAGAAAGCAAGAAATCACACACCCCCCCAGGGAGGATGGCCACGGAACAATCCCTTCTCCTCCATTCTCCTCTCGGGATCTTGGGCACACACACACGCACGCCTGGTGGGATTTTTTAGCCACCAGGTCCAGGACATGAACCGCAGTTGACTATGTGGGAGTTCAGCGACATAGCCATTACACTTAACTGCTGGTCCCAAGGCGGTGATTTCTTGCTTCCTTTCTCTCTCTCTCTCTCTCTCTCCCTTTCTAGCAAGCACACGCGCCCTATAGGAAAAACCTAAACAACAAAAATTATTTATTATAGTAAATGGAACAAACGTAGTAAACTACCTAAGAAATTGTGTGATAAAATTAAAAAAAAAAAAATCTAGTTTTAGGTTAAAACTAACACAGTAAGCAAAGATTAATTTTGTTTTATTTAAGGAGGATTTTATGCATTTCAATCCTCACCTGATTGACCTGTAACCTGGGACCAAGGTTTGTGTATATCTCTTTAAGAAGATCAATAGCTCTGCAGGCAATGTCATCATTACCCTGAATCACAACCTAATTACAAAAAAATTAAATTAACATCATTCAAGATATATTTTAATTTGGTACTTAAAATAAAATCATAATTTGTATTATTTTAATACAATATTTAATAATAAAAGATAAGTTTTTAAAATCATATTAGGAAAAAGTAAGTAATATAAAATTAAATAAATTTTAAAATTAGAGACAATACAAAACACTGATTTTATTATTAACAACTTAACTTGTTTAGGAATGAACAGGACACAAAATACTTTGTAATAGTATTCCTGTTGAAATCAGATATTTAGCAATTGAACTATGAGAGTTTCAAGGAATAAATTCAAGCCAGCTAAAAAGTTTAAGAAACACTGTTTAAATGTAAAGAGTTCCCATGACATCCTCTAGCAATTTCTGCATTCTTTGTCAATTATCCAATAAATCAATGGCTTTGAGGCTTTATGGCAGTTTGGGGGAAGAGGCTTTAACAAATGCCCTTTGAAAAGGGCAAAGAAAGGAAACAATCTGAAACTAAGCAGCAATGTCTCTTTAATATTCTGTCTTTTTTATTTATAGGTGTTCTCGATAGATAAAAATATTTTAAAACTATTATTTTGAATGAGATCATAATAAACATCTTATATCTGAAGTTCACCAACAAAATAAATCCAAAAAGCAATATAGTTACATTTTCTACAGATGGCAAAAAGACATATTCACACTACCAAAAAGAAAAAGTGAGCTAAAACAGCATATAATATTTACTCTCTAGCTATTTCAATTATATCATAAATAGTGTGCTATGATTTTAGTATTTGTCCCTCCTAAACTCACGTAGAAACTTACTCCCCATTTTAACACTATTAAAAGGCAGGGGCCAAATCAGAGGAAATAGCTCTTATGAATCGATTAACACATTCTTGCAATGAAGGATTAATGGACAGGTTGTGAAAGAGTCCATTGCCATAAAAGCAGCCCTTTTTTGTTCTCTGACATGTGCTTGCCCATGCTAAGAAGGTCCTTGTAAGAAGCTGCAAGATGCAGTCCCAAATTTTGAGCTTCCTATCCTACAAAACGGTGAACTAAATAAATTTCCTTTCTTCATAAACTACCTAGTATCAGGCATTATTTTTGCATCATAAAAGAGACTAAGACACAGTGTCAATCAAGATATTAATTCATAATATTTACTTGAAAAATTGGCCAGAGAATACATGCACTAGCCAGAAAGAAACAAAGGAAAAAGAACACACCCCTAAAAGTGTGTGATTATGTATACAGAGAACAGATCTCTTCTCCTTAAAATTCTCCACTCTACAGGGATTTGGAGATCTGCACATGTGTTTGTTATGAATCAGTAAATGCTTTGTCAGCCATATAAGATCCTGTTTTCTTAAGCACAAGGCTACACACCAGGCCCCATAATCACTTCCTAATGGTTGTTTTATTCTGTCCACATTCATTTACTTTATAAATGCATAATAAAACCCAAAATCATGTATGTATATGCAAAAGATGGCATAATTCTAAATTAGTATAAGAGAAGCTTCAGAGGCAGAAGGGAAAAAAAGTGAGGAATAAAATGTACCAACAAACATAAGTAATACACTGAAAAGATAAAGATGAACATAGTATTTAGAATAAATATTTGGAAAAACACATAGAACTTCAGGCAAAATTACATACTATTTTTAAAATTATCACAGGCACAATTACTGGAAACAAGTTTTTTATTTTTCACTTACTCTCCAAAGGTAGTCTAATCCTATTAGCTCCAAATCATCCATCATATAGGCTCTTCTTTTTGCTACTAGTTTTCCTTCTCGACAATTAACAGCTTTGAAGAATCTTTCAAAACATTTCATTCCGTACATGTGTTTGTTATGAATCAGTAAATGCTTTGTCAGCCATATAAGATCCTGTTTTCTTAAGCACAAGGCTACACACCAGGCCCCATAATCACTTCCTAATGGTTGTTTTATTCTGTCCACATTCATTTACTTTATAAATGCATAATAAAACCCAAAATCATGTATGTATATGCAAAAGATGGCATAATTCTAAATTAGTATAAGAGAAGCTTCAGAGGCAGAAGGGAAAAAAAGTGAGGAATAAAATGTACCAACAAACATAAGTAATACACTGAAAAGATAAAGATGAACATAGTATTTAGAATAAATATTTGGAAAAACACATAGAACTTCAGGCAAAATTACATACTATTTTTAAAATTATCACAGGCACAATTACTGGAAACAAGTTTTTTATTTTTCACTTACTCTCCAAAGGTAGTCTAATCCTATTAGCTCCAAATCATCCATCATATAGGCTCTTCTTTTTGCTACTAGTTTTCCTTCTCGACAATTAACAGCTTTGAAGAATCTTTCAAAACATTTCATTCCGTTTTCAGTTAACAGGGAAGGATCAAGCTGAAGGACATTACTTTCAAAGAACTCCTTATTAATATCAGGATCTAAATCTGGTTCATCACCCATTAACTTGGAATACCACTTAAAACAGGCTTCTCGATCACAAAGATAAACTGCATTCTCTGCTAAGCACTTCCAAATTTGTTTTGCCTGAGGAGCACAGAGCCACAGTTGGCCATCCTTCAACAGAAATCTTAGAAAAACATAAATCAATAATTAGAGTCTACACAATTTTACTCTCAAGAGTTAAGTTACTCTAGTATACACAAAACAATACATGAAACATATAGTTTAATTTTTCATTAAAAAATTTACATATCTATATTTATAAATTCACCAAGTTATTAATTCCCTTATTTAGCAAGCATATATATACTAGTCAACTACTGGATCATAGGAAAAATCAAGATGCATTTTTACATCATGACTTATGTGCCAACCCAATACACAGTGCTTAGCAACCTTGTGAGGTGATGTAACCAAAACAAGACCACCTATTTCAAAACGATCAGCCTTTAACACCAGATAATTACTTATTTATTCGTTTAGTAAATTTATGCTATAGGACTTATGAATTCTCTAGCGATAGAAAGGAAGATAAGAGAGAGACAGAGATAGGGAAAGCACTCCCACATGCCAAATACTAGTCCCAGACTTGGCAGTTTGAAAAACACACTGGGCTCATTTACACAAATTTAAGAGAAGATTAGGAAAACAGGAATTTGAGCATAGCTGTTCCACCAAGGGTTGCTTTTTACTATTCCCACTTTTTTCTGTTTCTCTCCAATAAGCGTGTATGCACTACAGAAAATTTTTAAATATGTACTTAGTTCTCCCAGAAATATAAACTCTACTGTTTTTTTCTGTTTGTTTTGTTTTGTTTTTTTTTTTTAAGAGAGGTTTTTGAGGGACCAGCAGTTAGCGTAATGGATATGTCGCTGGACTCCCATGTAGTCGACCGCGGTTCAAGTCCTGGACCCGGTGGCTTAAAACTCACGCCGGGCACATGAGTGTGCGTGCCCTAGATCCCGAGAGGAGAATGGAGAAGGGACTGCGGCACGGCCATCCTCCCTGGGGGGGTGATTTCTTGTTTTCTATCGCTCTGTCTCTCTCTATCTGGAGAGCTCACACACCCTGTAGCAAAAAAACTCTCAAAAAAAAAGAGAAAAGAAAAACAGAGGTTTATGCTATAGGATGATTGCACTTACAGGAGAGACAGAGAGACAAACAGCAATCACCTACCCTAGGGAAATGGTAGTGGCACACTGTAATACTTTCTCCTCCATTGTCCTCATAGGATCTTGGGCACACACACACAAGCGCCTAGCATGTGTTTTAATTCCCTGAATCCAAGAATCCAACCATGGTTAACTACATGGGAGTACAGCGATGTAACCATTACACCATCTGCTAATCCCATGAACTCCATTCTTAAATTTAAAAATATGTACTTTTCAGGGACAGGAGCAGACGAGGTGTTTAGGCTGCTGGACACCCACAAGACTTACTACAGCGTAAGTCCCAGACTGTCTCACTTTCTTTATATATCTGTCTGGGCAAATGCACAAGTCCTATGGTAAAAATTTTTTATTTAAAAAAAAAAAATGTATTTTTTTCGGTATGGCTCCATAGCCTAGAGGTTAAACCACAATTCACGTCCTGGTCCGAGATGCTTAAAAAGTGTACCAGCCATATATCCTAAACATGGAGACATGAAGATGCGACTGCAACACAAACATGCCCCACTAAGGGGCATGTTTGCACTATGGGCATTCAAAATAAATGTGTACTTGTCAGGAGGTAGCACATGGTTAAGGTGCTGTATTCCCAAACGGCCAACCACAGTACAAGTCGCCGTCCTGGCAGTTTGCTTTCTCATTTTCCCTCCCTTTTTCTCTCTGTTCAAATATTTTAAAAAATAAAAAAATAAATAAATAAATAATAAATGCATGAATGAATGTTGTGGCCAACAGGTGGTTCGGTGGTTAAGGTACTGGACGGTCCAAAAATGACCAAGGTTCGAATCCTGAACCTGGTAGCTTGCTTTATCATTTTCACTCTCTCGCAGTATCTTTCTCTTGTCTAACTAAAATAAATAAATGAAATGAATAAAATTAAAATATTTTTAAAAACAAATGAATAATTCTTTTAAAAGATTATGAATGTATAGTTTTCAAAATTTCTTATATTTTAATTGTCAGAGGGTACAATCACTTGTTGAAAGACAGGGAAAAGAGAGAAGCATTCCCATAGTTGCACTGCAAACCCTTTTCTCCATACAATAAATCCCTTCTCCTCAATTTATCAATGCTGTTAGAATGTGAAACACACATAAAGACAAAACTAGCATGTTTTCTAACTCACCAGGGCTGGGATCTGAACCATAATTGGTCACATGGGATTGGATCCCTTAATAATTAGAATATGGGACTTCATTAAAATGTTAATAACATTTCATTAAAATGTTATATAAACTTTCAGCAATAATGTCCATGTGTGGAAACACCAATATCATGGTAGAATGACCAACTAGCAAAATGTACCCAATATTGCATTTCTTATCTGTGCCTTGGAGAGAACAATTCCTTAAAACAAACCTCAAAAAGTTAAGTCGTTCTTGGACTTCTTGAACATGACTATATCTACTTCCAAGCCTCACAGTTTGTGGGTCATACTCTTTATGATCTGCAAATTAACAAAAATTATGTATTATTACATGAATAGTTGTACTACTACTGACATTTACCAAAAGATATTAGTAAGCCAGTTATTTACCTACAAAAATAAAACACTGACTTTTTACATCGTAAAAAGAAAAATACAAACTTGAATGTGTTCCCAGAGGTAATTTTTTAGCTCTCCTCCACTCTGCACATACATTGGGACAATTTCTGAGTATGCTCTATATTTTTTTAGCTTTTGCTATAGTTCACACATTTCTCTCTCCTGAGAAAGACAGAAAGAGAAAGACAGAAAAAGGGAAAGTAAGAAATCACCCTTCAGAGAGCATAGTCATGTTGCAATCTCCTCTCATCCATTTGCCTTGCAAGATGATTTTAGGCATGCAGATAGGTGATTTCTTGCTTTCTGGTTCTCTCTCCAGTGAGTACATGAGCCTGTAACAAAAATTTCTCTACCAAAACAAACAAAAAAAAAAAAGAAAAAACACAGAACAAAACAAAACACTATGCCAAATGTGTGTGCATGCATACATGCCCAAAATCTTGAGAGGAAAAATAGAGAAGGAATTTCAGCATAGCCCTCTCCCATAGGAGGTGATTTCTCACTTGCTGTCTCTCTGGCAAGTGCAAATACCCTATATAAAAAAAAATGTATCTCTAAAAATAAAATGGCACATAAAACAATACCCTGACGGGGCCTCATTTCCCTATGACAGTATTCCTTCAGTGATGGTAGGAAGAGAATTAAGTCAGCCTAAATCCACAGAAAACAAAGCAAAACAAACCATTTATCAGTGCAGAGTCTCCCCAAAGACCTAAAAACACAATTTAGAAGTACTGGTACATATATTTTCTAACTATAAAGACAACAGAACGAGTGTTTTGATCATGAAAACACAAAGGAAAGAATCATGTTTTGTGAAAGTAAAGACACCTCAGAGACAGAAAATGTTACCACAATGCCTAAAACGGCACCTCCCCCAAGAAAGTATGGCTATACCATAACCCTTCTCCTTCATCCTCCTCTTGAAATTGTTAGTACACTCACATGCACACACACACCCCCTCAGAGTGAATTTCAATCAGCCAAGTTTGGAACTTGAACTGCACAACTGGCCATGTGGGATCTAAATGCTTTAGCATCCTTGCTATCCACTGGCCCACGGGTATTAGTTATACATAATATTAATAATTTTAGTGAAAAAAATGTATTATCTCCATATTTAAGAGTCAACTGACTGAGTAGCACTAAAGAGGAAACAATAAAGAAAATATAATCAATGAATCTGTAGGTATTCAAAGTTACAAAAAAATGTTAAGTATTGCTTATGTGGCAAGAAGGATCTAGCAAATATTTACTTTCTAGCAAATGTTAATTTACTCATTAAGTAAGAATATACTATTATTTTTCTTCTTTCACAGATCAGCTAAGTTTTAATTACAAAAGGTTTAACATAGATGCAAGTCTGTATAGCTATTAATTTTTAGAGCTAGACTTTATATCTAGGCATTTCAAGTATAGGGCATAAATTCTCATCTCTTAGTTTGTAAAGAAACAATAAAAAGACAAAGAAGTAAAGAATGAGGACATTCTTATAACCATGTAAAATGAGCCATGAAAGCAAACAGAAATAGATTAAATGAAACAGACAATCCTGAAGAGGCAAAAATCATTCACATTTCCAACACATACTACTGAATTCTATAGTCCAATACAGAATCAATTAATTAGTACTTTGAGTTCAACATTATGCTCAATGTTATAGACAACAGAAATGTTTTGTTCTCCACAACCATTTATATAAAACTTGGACCTACAAGTGGTTTATTTATGTTTGGTACGTGAAGTGGAATGTAAAAAATAATCTGATGGGGAAAAGCAGAGATATGAAAGGCCTACAAGGAGCTACAGCGTACATAAACTCTGATATGTCAAAGGGCAAATAATAATGAAGTTCAAAGCTTTCTGAGTTGAGTAATCAGAACGCTCCAATCTGGTAGGTACCTCCTATAAATGTTTATAGTAAATAATAAAAAGTCATATGACAAAGCACAAGAATACATTAAAAAAAAGTTTGATTATTTATTTATATATCATTTAAATTTTCCATAGGACACATGACAAAAGATATAAACATTCATAAAACAAAGAGAAAGAGAGAGGGAAAAAGCAACCAACCAGGTCCGAGACTTAAACTATGGTCAGTTGAGCACCTTTAAACATCATGCCACTGGCCGGCATGAAAACCAATTTCTTTTTGAAAATTTAATTCTGAGAAACAATGAAAGCATTGGTGATCACTATAACATAACCCAGTGAGTTGTGTACAACCTAAATTTGAGATTAAAAACAACTATAAGGCCAACCTACAGCAATAGTTACACATTAAGCACTATGCGTAGGAAGCCAAATTCCCTATGGCCAATTACAGTTTGAAAACTGGCCCTGGCAACCTTTAAAACATACTGGCCTCAAATACATGCATATTCCAAATCCTAATAAGATGCAGAAATAGATGTAAAAACATTTCAGTGTAACATTGCTCTTGTGGGTTACTTTCTTTCTGGCTTTCTCTCTCTGGCAAGTATACTAAAATCCTAAGCAAAGAAAAAAACAGCTACTCAAGTATAATATATGCAAGAATACAAGTCGGCAAAATTAGTAACATGTAGATCATTATTCAATTCAAGTTTTCTGAAAATCTTGAAGTGTTAGAAGATTGCAAAGTTGAGAGCCAGATCCAATAGCCTGGTGGTTAAGGTGTTCAGATGCCGCAAAGTCCATCTTGCAGTTCAAGTCCCAGACATGATCTGACAACCACCCTAGGCATCTGTGTGTTAGTTCAAATTCCCAAAATATGAGAGATATGGAGGAGAAGTGACTATAGCATGACCATTCAACGTGGGAAGTAGTCTCTCCCTTTCTCTCTGGTGTGTGCATACACACCATATAAAAAAAGAAGGAAAGAAAAATGAGACAACTACACAGCAAACAGTTAAAACCAATTGCAGGTACAAGTAGGAATAGATCTAAGTTGCTGAAGACATCCATTAGCCAACATAAAAGCAAGTAGGAAAGAACCATGGTAAACTGACCACAAAGCTTAAACTGTGTTAAGATTTAGAATACCAATCAGACCAAATCGAGCCTAAGATTCCTCATGACAACTGAGTAGTAGTGATTTCAGGATAAAAGAGAAATGAAGATTACCTACTGATAAATCAGCATCCAGTCCACAAACCTGAGTGGTAGGGAGCTCCACTAGCTTTCTCTCTATCTCTGGCAATGTGACTCTGTCTCTACCCATCTTTTCATGTTTTCTTGTAATTTTTCCTTTTTAAAAAAAGTTTTCTCCACCTTTGTGTTCTTAATAATCACCTCTACACCTCCCACCCAGGCAGGAGAGGCAAGAGGCAAGCCTTCAGCCAAGATTCCTCAAGCCTCCTGAGAAGTAGTGTGGAGCATAGTTTTCTATACTGTGCTCTTCCATCAGATGACTAGGATCACCACAGGACGACAAGAAATTGGGAAAGCAAGAAAATACCTCTCCTCCCAGGGAAAAGAATAACTCCTCTTCATCCACAGACAGTTCCATGGAAATTATGGAAATGTCTGATAAAGAATTTAGAATATTCATAATGACAAAGTTAACTGAGATGGAAGAGAAGAGAGACAATGAACTAAAAGAGAGTAAGGAGAGAGGAGCTGTTGAGTTCCAGGAGGTGAGAAAATTCTTTCAAGATCTAAAAGAGGAATTACACACTTTAAAAAACAATCAAACAAAACTGTTAAGAGATGAAGGCTATCATAGAGGAAGTAAAAGTCTCCCTTGAAAGTATTAGAAGCATATTAGATCATACAAAAAAAAAAAAAAAAAAAAAAACAGAATCTCAGACGTAGAAGAGAAAATGGCTGACCTAGAAAAATCCAACACAAAAACTGAGAAAATGGCTCCAAAAAATGAGAATAATATACGAGAAATACTAGATACCATCAAACATCCAAACATCAAGATAATTAGTACCCCAAAAGGAGAAGAGACTGACAAGGGCATTGATAATCTATTTCACAAAATCCTGCAAAAAACCTAGAGAGGCACTCAAAGATCTGTCCCAAGAAATACAAAGGATCCTGAACAGATTAACTCAATAAGATCTTCTCCAAGACACATTATTGCCAGATTGAACAAAATCACAGACAAAGACAAGATACTAAGATTGGCAAGAGAAAAATGACAAGTTATCTACAAAGGACATCCCATCAGGAAAACAGCAGATCTCTCATCAGAAAAAAATGTGAGCAAAGAAAGAATGGGAAAATACATTCAAAATGTTAAGGGAAAAGCAGTTTCTTTTCTTTTAATTTTTACTTATTCATTCAATTATTTTAATTTGACCAGAGAAAAAAAAAACAGAGAGAGAGAAGGAAAGTGAGAAAGCAAGCCATCAGGACCAGGACTCAAACCATGGTCAGTCATGTGGGAGTGTACAACCCCTTAACCACCATGCCCTGCTGGTCCCCGAAAAGCAATTTCAACCAAGAATACTGTACCTGGCAAGATTATCCTTCATAGAAGAAATAAAGAAGGATGTTCTCAGATAAAACATGAAAGAATTTACCAGCACTAGATCCTATCTCAAAGAAGTTCTCAAAGGAATGCTATGAGAAAAATTAAATACAGACACACAGAAATAAGAGTTCAAAAACTAAGAAAATGGACAACTTAATCATAGGGGTATATGTAGAGTTCAATATTGTATCCCAGAATTTAATCAGGAAAATCGAACCACAATAGACGATAAAGCACATGAGACTGAATTGGTGAAATAGAATTTTTATCTTTTGACTAAAACATTGCAATTTTCTTCTAGGCTTTGTTGTCCGGTTTTAACGGTTTGTGTCCTTTCCTGAGATATAAATAGTTTCATGTACCTATGATTTGTACAGAATCCGAACGTGTTTCCTGGCTTTAAGTTTTAAGCAGCGTTCCTTAAGATTTAAGTTAAAACTGCTTTCTTGAAATTACTGCTGAACTTGCTATTGAAAGTAGTTAGACTACTTAAGACATTATATGTTCAGGGGACGAGCAAGTGGCAAGGTGCTTAAGGTGCTGGACACTCCCACATAGCTGACCATGGTTCAAGTCCTGCACCTGGCACCTTGTTCTCTCACTTTAACTCTCTATCTCTCTCTCTCTCGTAAAATTAAAATAAATAAATGAATAAATTGAATAAAATAATTTTAAAAAAAAAAGAAATTATATGATCAATACAAATTGGGAGGAAAAAGAATAGAAGACTACTGCAGACATCAGATATTGTGAGAAGAGGGTGGGAAAATACACAGGGTCAGTAACAGGGATAAAATAAATATATATATACACTTACATATATAACTAGAAATGGAAAATTATTGAGGCCACTATGCAGTATATTCTGGATGGGAAATCACATTTTACATGCTGTGATTATGCTTGGGGAAAAAATATAAATTAAGTTAAAAGTATTTCAGGAAGAAAAAATGAAAGTTATTCTTCTTCAAATTAAAAAAAAAGGCATTAAAAATATCTATTTGATGATTGCAGTATGCTATATAGCCCCAGCTTGGTGCTACTTTATGGTATATTCATTCTACTCACTGAGATTTATGACTCAAGACTTGTGTTCATTGGGAACCAGCAGTTAGCGTGGTTAGGGCTATGTTGCTGAACTCCCACGTAGTCTACCGCGGTTCGCATCTTAAAACTCACGCCAGGCGCGAGTGCGTGCATGCCCAAGATCCCAAGAGGAGAATTGAGAAGGGATTGTGGCGTGACCATCCCCCATGGGGGGGTGATTTCTCACTTTCTGTCTCTATGTCTCTCTCTGTCTGGTGAGCACACTGGCCCTATAGCAAAAACCTCTCCGGAAAAAAAAAAAAAAAGACTTGTGTTCATGAATATGTATAAATAAGCTGTGCTTGTTATTGAAAATATTTAGACTAATTAAGATATTTAGTGAAACAAAATATGAGGGGGAAAAAGGCATGGAAAGCAACTATGGATACCAGAGACAGTGTGGGAGGAAAGGGGGAACCGACAAAGGGTGAAAGATAGGGAATCAAGGATGGGTAAAAGACAAAATATACAGGAAACCAGAAATATAAAATTATATGTTGACAATAACACGTATGTTGATGTGCTTGATTAAACCAATATATGGCATGTTCTGGATGGAAAAATATTATTTTGTATACTGTAATGATGTACAGTGAATGAATGTAAATAAATAAAAATAATTTTAAAAAATAGACCAAAATCTGTAACTGAATACAACCTATAAAAAAATGTATTTCCTTTTTTCCCCCCTCTTTAAGAAAAATGGCATCATTTCTGAGATAGGATAAAACAAAATCAGGGAAGGGAACTTCATGTTGAAATCCTTAGCAATTTTAGTTTCTTACATACCTCTAGCATATACTTTTATGCTATTCATATAAACTGAAAGGTTTTCTGCCACCAAAGTAACCAAGGCATGATTGTGCTGAAGCTGGTTGATTAAATCATGACGATAAAAAACATGAGGACTTCGCTGAGTTTGACTGAAACGAGAAGAACTCAACAGTATAATTAGGCACATGAAAACTACTGTCATTAACAAGTTTCTACATAGAAAAATTTTTAGCCACTACTTTAAACGTTTACAGTGCTTTTATATTCATAGTAAAATGTAATCAATATCCTCCCTTTAGTAACAATATAGCAAGCAATGTAAAGAAAGAAATCTGTGCCTTAAAAAAGGAATATACTTCTTAATTTTTTTTTTTTTTTGAGATTTTTGCCCTAGGCCATGTGCTCTCCAGAGAGACAGAGAAAGACAAAGAGACAGAAAGTAAGAAATTACCACCCAGGGGGATGGCTACATCACAATTCCTTCTCCTCCATTTTCTCTCAGGATGTTGGACACATACACACATGCACGTACCCAGTGAGTCTTAATTCACTGTTGTCAAGTCTGCAAGTCTGACCCGCTGTTACATATGTGGCAGTCCAGTGACATAACCACCACACCATCTGCTGGTCCCAATAACTACATATTGCAATACTCTTATTCTACAGTAAATGACTTATCACATTCTCCAACTTAATTAGAATCAAATACCATAAGTTACACAATCAATATGAACCACTCAAAGTACATTCTGGAATGCTTATCTTGTGATAACAGATATTATAAGAAAGAAATCTATTTCTCTTTTGTTTCTTTTTTTAATTATTAATTATGAGAGAGATTTTGCGAGACGACACCTGTGCTCGCTAGAAAGAGATAAGAGACAGAAAGGGAGAAATCTCTCTCCAAGTGGATGGCAATGCTGAAGTCTCTCCTCCTCCATTCTTCTCTCAGGATTTTGGGCACACATGCCCAGCATGAGTTTAAGCCACAAGGGTTAGGACTCAAACCACAGTTCACCACAGAGGAGTCCAGCGATGTAACCATTACATCATCTGCGGATCCCTCCTATTTTTTTTTTTTAATGAAACTAATCAACTATTCCTGATCACTATTAGTCTACTGGTGATGAAGTCAACAGCCTCCACCTATCTGCACACATAAAAATGGGCATGTGGGTGAAACACAATGAAAATTTGTCCTTCAAAAATAATTATTATTTTCTCCACTGAACTGTTTATTTTGATATATTATTTTTCACTATTAAAAAGTTAAATTCAAGTGAGAAAGTCAAAACATACTAAAAGCATTTAAAATTTCTAAGACTTAAAAACTAGGCTTCTGTTTTAGTTATACTTACAACACCCTAGAGCTGTAATGGATTCTATCAATTAAGCACCACTCCCAACCCCACCCCCTGTGGTTTCACTTTCTATAGTTTTAGTTACCTACAGTCAAAAAGGGGTGAATTCACTAAAATACTTTTAAAGAGAGAAAAAAGAGATGACATTCCTTAATTACAATATATTATTACAACTGTTCTCATTTATTACTCCTTTTATTTTATTATTTCCAAAATTATAATGTGTTGTTATGTGCTATTATGCCTAATGTATGCATAGGGAAAATAACTATGTATGTCTATACATATACATATTGACATATGTACATACATATACATGGTTTCCTACAATCCACAATTTCAGGAATCCACTATGGGATTTAGAATGTCTAAGAGGAATGCTAGCAAATTATCATACACTCAAGGGAAAAAGTATTTATATAGCTACAGAATCTTTACCAGTCAGACAAACCAATTTTTACAACCAGAAATCTTAGCTACATTGTGAAAATTCTTTTGACTACACAGTTCCTTCCTACATGTTATCTCCCTTCATATTAGTATTATAAATTACAACAAGAAAGGATTAATTATTCCAATATCACAATTTAGTATGTAAGATCAAACAGTTAAAATTACCTAAGTGAGGGAACCAGCAGTTAGCGTAATGGCTATGTCGCTGGATTCCCACATAGTCAACTGCTGTTCGTGTCCTGGACCCGGTGGCTTAAAACTCACGCTGAGCACGTGTGCGTGCGTGCCCAAGATCCCGAGAGGAGAATGGAGGAGAAGGGATTGCGGCGTGACCATCCCCCCTGGGGGGTGATTTCTAGCTTTCTGTCTCTATGTCTCTCTCTGTCTTCTGGCGAGCGCACATGCCCTACAGTGAAAATCTCTCCAAAAAAAAAAAATACCTAAGTGAAAGGTAAAAATATCTTTGTCATCTTTCAATATTTAAATTACCTTTAAGTATTAGACAACTAAGACTAATTATGTAAGACTTAAAAATGACCAGTATTCTTTACTTGGAAAATAGAAATCTTTAGTATGAAATTTAAAGTTAATAAAAATATTGAAAATGTTACATTAATCTAAAAAAGGGGACCATCAGGTGGTGTAATGGTTATATCGCTAGACTCCCATGTAGTCCACCACAGTTCGAATCTCGGACCGTGTGTCTTAAACTCACTCAGAGAGCTTATGTGTACTACATGCCCAATATCCAGAGAGGAGAATGGAAAAGGGACTGTGACATGACCATACTCTCCAGGGAATAATTTCTTGCTTTCTATCTATGTCTCGCTCTGTCTTTCTAGTGAGCACACACATCCTATAGCAAAAACATCTCAAAAAATAAGATTAAGGAACTAGTAAAGTTAGTATAAAGTACTGTAACTGAGACAACAATGACTATCAAATGAACAGACAGAAAAACGTAGAAAGGGTTAAATGATAGAGAGAGAGAGAGAGAGACAGAAAAACGTAGAAAGGGTTAAATGATAGAGAGAGAGAGAGAAAGAATGATAGAGATAAAACGCCCTACAATCCTGCCACCTCCATCTCTTGCTCTCCTTTCTTTTTCTTTTCTATCTTCTTTTCCCCTTTGTTTAGTTTCTTCTCCCTCCTTTCTTGATTCTGGGAAGGCACACGTATGTGCTTGGTGTGTCCCAAGCTGTCAGAGTCAGGACTCAAACCGTGTGATTGAACATATGGGATCCCTCTGCTTTAACCTCCAGGACACAGTCTGCCCTCAAATTCAACTTCATTTTTGGGGTGGCAGAAAT